TGCTAACATACGTAATACTATTTTATAAAAAGTTATACGATTGAAAATTCGTCATATTTGAAGAAAGTTATAATCATTTGAATATTTGTTCAAATTTCAATAGTAAATAAGCTGCTCCACGGTCAACGCCAAAGTCCAGTCAACACACAGCTGGCGAAGGCGGTTACAAGGCTTCTTTCAAAAAGGGGACGTGCAAATTGAGAACCATATCTGTGTAGTACTAGAATTTGGTAAGTCTTGTGGAGGAAATAAATAAAGAAGAGATGTTGTCATAGTATGCCATTTTTAGTGGCTAGTTTGTCGTTTTTTGCTCCGTTTCTCGTTTGCTCGTTTGGTAGGACTCATCAATAATGATCATTCTTTGACTTTTTCACTTTTGTACTTCTTAAACGAATTTTTTGGTGGACGGTGGGGTAGCAGGGCTTTTTTATGAACAGTTTTGGTGGAGAATTAAACAACATTTTCATATTCTATTGATGAGTGATCTTGAAGCTCTTGTAATTTACTATTTATTGGTTAGCTTTCGGCAATAATGCCATCATCAGACCTTAAAATTACAACAATTGCACATGATCAACTAGTTACATTACAAAAACACTATACATCAATACATACCAGCGAGAAAAGGAGAGTAGTGGGACCTTTCAGGGTCTGGCGGGAATGGAAAATGAAGCACCAGCCCCGAGGCAAAGGATGGTTACGTAGCTCGTCTTTTGCGTTGACTTCTGGCTTTATACGATGTATTTCCCGCGCCTCCATGATTTTCCTTTCCAGCGGCCGCACCAAATGTCTGTGAAGAACGCTCACGTCAAAGGACGGGGCGTCCTCTCTCTCATGCTTCAATGTGCTGTGTCTGCAAAAACTGCTGCAAGGACGTTGATGCTTCTCAATGCGGCAATAGCTAAACGTCGTCGTCGGAAGTCATTCTGCATACGCGGGTTAACCTTCCATCGAAATAGACTACGTTCAGAATTATCACCAGAACTTTGGCAAAGAATGTCTTCAGAAAACCAGAGAATATGTTCTCGACTGCGTGAAGACCAAAATCGTCATTTTGATAGAAAACTCAATCTGTTGCGATCACATCCACGAAAACAACCACGGTGGTTTGAAGGAAATATTATCCCACCGACACGACATGTGGTCATTGGAACAAATGAAGTTGATAGTGATATGGCAGCCGTCCTCAATCTTGGACCATCATTTGCAATAACACCGAGGGTAAACACCACAGTAATCGACTCAGCGCTTTGTGGAATCTATCAATTTGCGTATCAACTACGTTGGAGAACACAGGGACCAACCGTACTCGATCAACATGATACGCTGATGTCGCTGATGCCTTTCAAAGGAAAATTCATACAAATACCCCCATCGTCGACTGACCTTGATGCTAGAATAGCTGATCTGGAGCATAACATTCAACGCATTTATCGAAACGCGATGGATGAGCCTTACCATAGTAATTTGACATCGGCTGAACGAAGAGGAGTAAAGAAAATACTACAGTCGAAAAGAACATTGAGGTACACAGTTGGAGACAAATGCGGTTCCTTTGTTGTGATGCCTCAAAGTTTGGATAAGGCCTTAACCGCCAACGTTCTCTCAGATACAAGTGTGTATGAGGAAACTACTCCGTCAGCGTTCGAAATAGCATGGAAGAAAGTGAAAAGTGTCATTACGTCGATAGTGAAGAAGCGTATGAGTTCGGAAATGGCGAAGCGATTGTATGGTATGGTACCAACAGTGCCAACACTCTACAATTTGGTGAAGACGCACAAAATCCCATCAACGGCGGACACAGTGTCACTTCAACTCAGTGAAATCAAAACGAGACCCATAATCGCATCATGTGGTGGTCCAGCGGATAGGCTGAGTTGGCTCCTAGTTCAGCTCCTTTCACCCCTGTTGCGGTATGTGGGAGCACACATTGTCAACGTCGACGAATTTATTTCAGCACTTCACCGATGTTCAGTTCCGACGACAGCTTTCTATGCGAGTTTCGATGTAGTGTCCTTATATACAAACGTTAACAACGCGGACGCAGTACAAGCTGTTTTATCCCTTCTGGAAGAAAACCGCAGCCAGGTTTCCATGATGGGATTTTCTGCAACGAAATAAAGGACCTCATCGAAGCGGCACTAGAATGCAATATTTTCCGCTTTGACAACAAATTTACAAACAGAAACGAGGCTTAGCTACGGGTATAGCACCAGTGTTAGCAGTAATCTATTTGGACCACGTCAAAAAGACATCATTCGGAAGTGGAATTATTTTCTACTAACGT